TATAATGTTACAAAAGATTTATATTTCAAATAAATGCTGTTCTTTTGAATTTTCTATTAATCCAAAAAATCCTGAAAAGTATCGCCGTTTCCATAAAAATAACATTTTCAACATTGATAATAATAAGAAATGTGTCTTGAGCAGCAAATCAGCAATATAAATGATTTTTAAAGGATCATGTGACACTGAAGACTGGAGTAATGGATGCTGACTTAGAGGCTTTTGCATCTGAACTCTTCATATGTAATATTATATGTGTAAAAATATAATACATTTATGTAGTATGATATAATATATAATGTTATTATATTGTGGCCAGTCTTTGGGAATCACACACAAACACACACACACACAAAATGTCAAAACAGGTAAATGCATTAACTACATTAAATGTGACTATGTTAGGCATTTAATTTATTAATTGATCTAACAAGTCACCTTTGGCAGTTCTAATATGCATATATAAACAAGGGAGGTACCAACACCCATTTCAAGCACTAAGTAACACAATTGTGATGTCATTTGATGAGGCTAAAAACACATAGTAGGCTATAACAGCACATGCACAAAGGGTCTGTGTAACTGTGCTGGCAGAAGTAGAGCTTTTCATTCGTGTCCTGTGGATTAAACAAAGAGACATGTTCTGTTTGCACAGCTTTACTTTGTCGTCAAGCTCGTGTGTAAAGAAACATTTTATGAAAGCTGAAATCTATGATATTCTGCATCATGTTGGTCACAGATGTTTCTCTAACATAGCAACTTGCTAGCTAGTTATCTCCTATTGTTGTGCAAAACCACCTTGTTAAGAAACAGCTTGAAGGAAGGATGGGGAAAGCGAACAGTATAGTGCTTCGGATTTTCCCAAGCGCTTCCTCTGGTTTTGTTCATTTTTGACAGGGAACAGAAAATTATGTCTCTCTGTATTGTGGCTGAATACCAGCTTTGAAGTCTGCTTGACATGCTACATCTGATTGTGTGTATGCATATGTGTGCCATGTCTTCACTCATTCTGTTGATAATTTAGGTACAGAATGAGGACAAGAATATCGATTACAAAATGAAAAGTATTGCTTGACATCCTATGAAGTTTATATCATAATACTTTCACCCAGCACATCCCCCAAAAGATGCATTCAGATATATACATTATTTCTCTCTCTGTGCATGACAAAAACTCTCAAAACCTTGATTTCTGTTATAAAATGATAAGAAACCTATGATAACTTTGCATTAATGTGAGCAGGTGTTTGCTATCGGTGCTTAATATCTGATGGCAAACATTCAACCAAAACAAGCAATGTTGTACATCACTGCCCCCTATTGGTTAAATAACAGACACACCCATCTCTACAAAGACGCCCTATAAGAACAAAAAAATGCTGTTAATAAGAAATGGATGGAAGGAAAATTCACATTGACAAGTGGCATCGCTCACGGTATTAGTTCTCCCAAAAATGAAAATTTGCTGAAAATGTACTCACTCTCAAGCCATCAAAGATGTAGATGGGTTTGTTTCTTCATCTGAACAGATTTGGAGATATTTAGCATCACTTGCTCACCAATGGATCCTCTGCAGTGAATGGGTGCCGTCAGAATGAGAGTCCAAACAGCTGATAAAAACATCACAATAATCCATAAGTAATCCACAATTCCAGTCCATCAATTAATGTCTTGTGAAGTGGAAATCTGTGAAAAAATTAGTAGGAAACAAATGAATCATTAAGGCATTTTAACTCTAAACCATTGCTTTTGGCCAAAAAACAAGTCCATAATCCATAACAATGCCACCTCTAGTGATGGATTTGTTTCTTACAAACACGCAGCTTTTCACATCACAAGACATGAATTGATGGACTGGAGTGTTGTGGAATGTTCTATGCAAATAAATGTGACATGACTTGATATTTAACGTGAAACTCATACCAACCCAGCAAGCCGTTTAATGTTAATAATGATGCATAGCAACTTAAGGATTGGTACATGACATTTGGTTCTCCAGTCTTTTAAAAAAGAGCTCTGGCATCAATCAAACACTGACGTACATCTTGAAAGTTTGGTGTATTGAAGCAACTCTTAAATACTTTCTGTCTCTCTAGGGTGCTCCTGGACGAGAAGGAATGGAGGTGAGTGTAACCAGCACTGTTTCTGATCAACATGGTCATGGTCTTCATGGCTTACATTATATTATTGTACGTTACTTTCTTTCAAACACATTTTCTCTCTGCAGGGACAAAGAGGTTTACCAGGAAAACCGGTAAGTTTAAAACACATAAAATCTGTGTGTGCTCATCCTTGAGACCAAAGTGTTTCTTGTTTTTTAGGAAAATGTCTTGCTTTTGCAATTTTCTGAAAGACTAAATTCTTTCCTTTCGGCATAAATATGAACAGCATGTTTGAGTGTTTTGCCCTTTGCGCTAGTAAGTGCTTGCTGACTTCAGCTGTCCTTAAACACTGACGTCTGGTTGCACTGACATCTGTATGAGGTCTTGAATTAGTTTCTGCCGGTTTCACTGGAATGACTTTTAATGTATAATATCAGTTTCATTTTAGTATATGTGTATGTTTGTGTGTGAGACTAAGATAAGAAACATACTGTATGTGAGTATGTTCTAGCCGTTGTGTTGCAGCTGCATGAAATAGTGTTCGCAACATTTTTTACTTCTGTAATGTGATTTTATTTCGAAGTGAAACAGGATATAAGTTGTGAGGATGAAGCTGATTTTTTTATCTGTAAAAATTGAAAAGTGAGACTTCCGGGTTGGACATCGACATGATGGCAGCATAGAGCTAGCGTTCCTGGTTGGAATAGTTTTAAAAAAAACCCTAAGATCATTAAACTAGCAATCTAAGTAATCTACTTCATAAAAATAAAAGGGGAGTAAGATGGAAACTAGGTGCAAAACTAAGAAAATCACACATCCTACGGAGAAACAAGACGATGACTCTGCGCGCTCTCTCCCTGGCTCACAAGCAAGCGGCCATGAGGGAGATTCCGTGAACCCCGCCAGCTAGACCGTCGACTTGAGCCTCATTCTTAGAGAATTAAGGGACTTTCGTCGGGATAACAAAACTCAACTCGAGGACATTAAAGCGGAAATTTCGAATACCAACGCTAGACTGGAGGAGGTAGAGGGCCGAGTCTTGACAGCAGAAGAGAGGATTCAAAACGCAGAAGAGGTACTCACAGGCTTGTTGAAGTTACACACCAAAATGGAAGAGAAACTTGTGGACATAGAGGGTCGTTCCAGAAAAGGGTCTGTGTAACTGTGCTGGCAGAAGTAGAGCTTTTCATTCGTGTCCTGTGGATTAAACAAAGAGACATGTTCTGTTTGCACAGCTTTACTTTGTCGTCAAGCTCGTGTGTAAAGAAACATTTTATGAAAGCTGAAATCTATGATATTCTGCATCATGTTGGTCACAGATGTTTCTCTAACATAGCAACTTGCTAGCTAGTTATCTCCTATTGTTGTGCAAAACCACCTTGTTAAGAAACAGCTTGAAGGAAGGATGGGGAAAGCGAACAGTATAGTGCTTCGGATTTTCCCAAGCGCTTCCTCTGGTTTTGTTCATTTTTGACAGGGAACAGAAAATTATGTCTCTCTGTATTGTGGCTGAATACCAGCTTTGAAGTCTGCTTGACATGCTACATCTGATTGTGTGTATGCATATGTGTGCCATGTCTTCACTCATTCTGTTGATAATTTAGGTACAGAATGAGGACAAGAATATCGATTACAAAATGAAAAGTATTGCTTGACATCCTATGAAGTTTATATCATAATACTTTCACCCAGCACATCCCCCAAAAGATGCATTCAGATATATACATTATTTCTCTCTCTGTGCATGACAAAAACTCTCAAAACCTTGATTTCTGTTATAAAATGATAAGAAACCTATGATAACTTTGCATTAATGTGAGCAGGTGTTTGCTATCGGTGCTTAATATCTGATGGCAAACATTCAACCAAAACAAGCAATGTTGTACATCACTGCCCCCTATTGGTTAAATAACAGACACACCCATCTCTACAAAGACGCCCTATAAGAACAAAAAAATGCTGTTAATAAGAAATGGATGGAAGGAAAATTCACATTGACAAGTGGCATCGCTCACGGTATTAGTTCTCCCAAAAATGAAAATTTGCTGAAAATGTACTCACTCTCAAGCCATCAAAGATGTAGATGGGTTTGTTTCTTCATCTGAACAGATTTGGAGATATTTAGCATCACTTGCTCACCAATGGATCCTCTGCAGTGAATGGGTGCCGTCAGAATGAGAGTCCAAACAGCTGATAAAAACATCACAATAATCCATAAGTAATCCACAATTCCAGTCCATCAATTAATGTCTTGTGAAGTGGAAATCTGTGAAAAAATTAGTAGGAAACAAATGAATCATTAAGGCATTTTAACTCTAAACCATTGCTTTTGGCCAAAAAACAAGTCCATAATCCATAACAATGCCACCTCTAGTGATGGATTTGTTTCTTACAAACACGCAGCTTTTCACATCACAAGACATGAATTGATGGACTGGAGTGTTGTGGAATGTTCTATGCAAATAAATGTGACATGACTTGATATTTAACGTGAAACTCATACCAACCCAGCAAGCCGTTTAATGTTAATAATGATGCATAGCAACTTAAGGATTGGTACATGACATTTGGTTCTCCAGTCTTTTAAAAAAGAGCTCTGGCATCAATCAAACACTGACGTACATCTTGAAAGTTTGGTGTATTGAAGCAACTCTTAAATACTTTCTGTCTCTCTAGGGTGCTCCTGGACGAGAAGGAATGGAGGTGAGTGTAACCAGCACTGTTTCTGATCAACATGGTCATGGTCTTCATGGCTTACATTATATTATTGTACGTTACTTTCTTTCAAACACATTTTCTCTCTGCAGGGACAAAGAGGTTTACCAGGAAAACCGGTAAGTTTAAAACACATAAAATCTGTGTGTGCTCATCCTTGAGACCAAAGTGTTTCTTGTTTTTTAGGAAAATGTCTTGCTTTTGCAATTTTCTGAAAGACTAAATTCTTTCCTTTCGGCATAAATATGAACAGCATGTTTGAGTGTTTTGCCCTTTGCGCTAGTAAGTGCTTGCTGACTTCAGCTGTCCTTAAACACTGACGTCTGGTTGCACTGACATCTGTATGAGGTCTTGAATTAGTTTCTGCCGGTTTCACTGGAATGACTTTTAATGTATAATATCAGTTTCATTTTAGTATATGTGTATGTTTGTGTGTGAGACTAAGATAAGAAACATACTGTATGTGAGTATGTTCTAGCCGTTGTGTTGCAGCTGCATGAAATAGTGTTCGCAACATTTTTTACTTCTGTAATGTGATTTTATTTCGAAGTGAAACAGGATATAAGTTGTGAGGATGAAGCTGATTTTTTTATCTGTAAAAATTGAAAAGTGAGACTTCCGGGTTGGACATCGACATGATGGCAGCATAGAGCTAGCGTTCCTGGTTGGAATAGTTTTAAAAAAAACCCTAAGATCATTAAACTAGCAATCTAAGTAATCTACTTCATAAAAATAAAAGGGGAGTAAGATGGAAACTAGGTGCAAAACTAAGAAAATCACACATCCTACGGAGAAACAAGACGATGACTCTGCGCGCTCTCTCCCTGGCTCACAAGCAAGCGGCCATGAGGGAGATTCCGTGAACCCCGCCAGCTAGACCGTCGACTTGAGCCTCATTCTTAGAGAATTAAGGGACTTTCGTCGGGATAACAAAACTCAACTCGAGGACATTAAAGCGGAAATTTCGAATACCAACGCTAGACTGGAGGAGGTAGAGGGCCGAGTCTTGACAGCAGAAGAGAGGATTCAAAACGCAGAAGAGGTACTCACAGGCTTGTTGAAGTTACACACCAAAATGGAAGAGAAACTTGTGGACATAGAGGGTCGTTCCAGATGGAACAAATGTTAGAATATACGGAGTTCCCAAAGGTGCCGACAAGGACTTTCCAACAGTGGCTCTATTTCTAGAAAAATTTCTGAGAGAACATTTAAATCTATCGGAGGACACATCACTTCAAATTGAACGTGCTCATAGAGCGCGCGGTAGACAGCCACCGGCGGACGCACAACCACGATCAATCGTGGTTAAATTTCTAAGTTTCACGACCAAAGAACAGATACTTCAACAAGCCTGGCAGATGAGAGGATTCTCTTGGCAAAGAAAGCAGATCAACTTCGATAATGATTACGCCCCTCAAGTGCTACAGATGAGAAGGGAGTACACAGAGATACGCAATGTTTTGAAAGACAGAGAAGTGAAATTTAGAACACTGTACCCCGCTCGTTTGAAGGTGCTTTATGAGGATGGAGTGAGGATATACAACACGGTCGAGGAGGCAACGCAAGACATGTCAAAGAGGATTCCCGGTGCAGCCCATCAGCCAACCGAACACCCTCATGGAGAAGATTCGGCGAATGTCTTGGCAGAGAAGTGGCCAGAGCATGTGCAGACGCGATCTCCAATGGAGAAGAGGGCCAACATTCAAGGAGAAGCTGCAAACTTTCCGAAGAAAGGACGGGAGTTTGCAATCTTCATAATTTATGCACGGTCCCGATTGTCTTTGTACCGTAACGGTAAAGTGGTTAATACAGAGATGAGAAGCATTATGCCATTTCGGACTGGCAAAGGTATTTGAGTTAAAAAAAAAAAAAAAAAAGAGAGGGAGAGTGCGAGACGCAACGTCCTTAAATAGTTTGTTTGAACAACTTAGTTATCAGAATCAGAAGAGCTTTATTACCAAGTATGTTTACACACACAAGGAATTTGACTTGACGACAGGAGCTTCCAGTGTAGAAGAAAGTACAAACATAGTGCAGACATACATGATAGTGCAGACATACATAGGAATAACACAGTAGGGATGTAATATAACACTAATATAATAAAGAAAAATTGAATAATGTACTATATACAGAAATAGAAGTATAGGAAAAAATGTAATTATTTAGATAAATGTACAGATATGTTTATTAGTGTGCAGATATGTTATTTACAAAGTGCAGTTTAATATAAGTATAACTATGTTAGTTGTGATGGACGATGTATAATCGGTGTAGTATTGAATAATCGGGATATGTTGTATGGATAGCTCAAAGGGTTCTTTGTTTAACTGCTATCTACAAGGGCCCCTTCTATAAACTTATAAAGAGGGGTTTTCCCTTGGAGCCTATAAGTGGAGGCTCCATTACAGTCGTGGTAATGACTTCAGTTATGGAAGTTCACTTTACGTTGTACATGTTGATTAATATTTCAAATTGGTTGATTGTTGATTTGTTTCAGTTTGTTCTGTTGAAAGGGATGCTATATGTTAGAACACTTTTGTTAGTATTTTATAAATTGACTGTAAAGTATGAAAATAGCTTCGTTTAATGTCAATGGCGTTCTTAGTCCAGTTAAAAGAGGAAAGATTCTGTCCAAATTAAAGAAGGCTAGAGCAGAGGTTGTGTTTCTACAGGAAACCCATCTAAATGATGCAGAACATTCAAAACTAAACAAAATGGGTTTTAAGGAGGTATACCTTGCATCCTATAAATCTGTACGTAAAAGAGGAGTGGCCATACTTATATCCAAAAAAAATTGAATTATGAACATATGTCAGAAATAAAAGACAAGGAAGGAATATTTGTATTGATAACAGGAAAAATAGAGGGAACTTTAACAAGTTTTTTGAATGTCTATGCTCCCACAGGCTCTGAGTGGAATTTCTACCGTGAAATATTTGATTTAATAGTTACTAAAGTCCAAGGAATTTTAATATGTGGAGGTGATTTTAACATATGTCTAAACCCTAAGTTGGACTGTTCTAGAAGCACTATGGGATTAAAGCCACTGATTAAAAAGGTGAATAGTTTGTTGAAAGAGATAGGAATCATAGATGTATGGAGAGAATTAAATCCCAGGGTTCGTGATTACACCCACTATACTCATCCCCATACAACGTACTCCAGAATAGATTACTTCTTTATTTTCAAAAAGGATCTGCATCTGGTTGAACACTGTGAATTGGGCATGATGGATATTTCTGATCATAGTCCTATTTATATGTCTGTGGGTCTGAATAGGAAACCTAATTCCACAGTTTGGAGAATGAATTCAGATATCTTAAACAATTCCCAAATCAAGCAAACTTTAGAAAATGAGATTAAATCTTATGTGGAGATAAATGATAATGAGGAGGTGACACCATCAACAGTCTGGGATGCACTAAAGGCAGTAGTAAGAGGTAAAATTATATCCATTACATCTAATTTAAGGAAACTTAGAAGGCAGAAACTACAAGACCTTGAAATTAAACTGAAAAGACTACAGAACGAACACAGGGCTACAATTAATCATAACAGTTAAAGAAATAGATGAAATATATTCTAAAGAATTACAAAAGAAATTTCTGTTCTTAAAACAAAGATACTATGAAATAGGGGGCAAATCATTAAAATTGTTATCCTACAGATTAAGGAAACAACAAGCAGATAGAGCTATCAATAAGATCAGAAATACTCAACCCGGGGAGACATATTGTAAACTAGAGCAAATACAGCAGAGTTTTGAAAAATTTTATAAAGCTTTGTATTCACAACTTAAAATTAATAACGATCTGCAGATAGATTCATTTCTAGCCTCATTAGAGCTACCCACAGTGTCAGAGGAACACAATAAATCTTTAGTAGCAGAAATTACAATGGAGGAGTTAAAAGTAGCCGTGGCAAGACTAAAGACAGGCAAATCACCAGGAGCGGACGGCTACCCTGCGGAATGGTACAAATCCATGTTCGATCATTTGGCCCCGACTTTATTAAAGGCTTACAATTGGGTAGTACAAAAAAGGGAAATCTTACCTTCCTGGAGAGAAGCGATTATATCGGTTATTTTAAAGGAGGGAAAAGATAAGTTGGAATGTGGTAACTATCGGCCAATTAGTGTTCTAAATGTTGAATACAAGTTGTTTACCTCCATTTTAGCACGGAGATTAGAAAAGATTCTCCCAGACCTCATTAATTTAGATCAAACAGGCTTTATTTGTCAAAGGCAAGCATCAGACAACATCAGAAGAACTTTACATATTCTTAGTTTCATTTCAAAACATAATGTGGAAGCTACACTATTGAGTTTAGATGCAGAGAAAGCCTTTGACTCCGTGAGATGGAGTTTTCTATACAAGGTATTAGCAAAATTTGGATTTCACAAGAATTTTACTGGAATAATTACAACATTATATGATAAGCCTTATGCAAGGATTAAAATTAATGGAGGTTTATCAGATCCATTTAAATTAGAGCGGGGCACAAGACAGGGGTGCCCCATTTCACCACTCCTTTTTGCCATATTTATTGAACCTTTGAGCCAATGGATTAGGCAAAACCATCTCATTAAAGGGATGGATATGGGGTCCGGAGAGCATAAATTAGCCCTCTTTGCCGATGATATATTGATATATATGTGCCAACCTACAAAGTCACTTCCTACACTATTTAACTTCCTTGAGGGGTATGAGGCCATATCTGGTTACAAACTGAACGTCTCAAAAACCCAAGTATTAACATTTAATTATGATCCACCTAGACAAATTAAAGATAAATATATTTTAAAATGGGATACAAAATCAATTAATTACTTAGGAGTAAATTTGTCTGGAGACCATTCAAAATTATTTGATTTAAATTATGGTCCCTTGAATAAAAAAATAAAATCTGATTTAGTATGTTGGAACCTTATTCCTTTGTACAGTCTAAGTTCCAAAGTTGATTCAGTAAGGATGATCATTCTACCAAAATTGTTATATCTATATCAGACACTTCCAGTAGAAATTTCGAATCAACAATTTACAGAATGGAATAAATTAATATCTAGATTTTTATGGCAGGGGAAAAAACCCAGAATAAGATTTAAGACATTACTATTAAGTAAAGAAAAAGTTAGGCCTCCCATGCTTACAACGATATTATTATGCGGCCATTAGTCTGCTGGAGTAGTCCAGTATATTCAGCAAGATGGATTGAAATAGAAAGAGGAATGATGGGAGAGTCTTCGTTATCTGCCCTTATTGCTGATAACAAACTAAGAAATAGAATGATTAAGGAAACAAACTCATGGATCAATTTATTATTTAAAATTTGGCATCAAGCAAAGAAAATGGGTGGTTTGGAAGATGCATCGAAAATATTAAGATGGTGTGCCTTTGATACTGATTTTGTCCCGAATAGAATAGATGATCGATTTCGAATTTGGACTAAGCTAGGAATTTCAAATTATTACACATTTTTCAACAAGGGCAAAATCCATAGCTTCGAATCGCTAAAGGGAAAATATGGGCTTAATCAAAGTGACTTCTATAGATATCTCCAAGTCAGGCACTATATTGAATGTAATATCAAACCAGAAATATTGAAATTCACTGAGATAGGGATAATAAAAGTGTTCTTATCAGTATGTAAGTCTCAATCATGTAATAAGATTATCTCAAAATTATATAATGGATTTCTCCAAAATGTACCCGAAAACACATTTTATGTTAGAGACAAATGGAAAATGGAAGGGAATTTTAATGTCTCAGATGAGGATTGGGAGAAAATTTGTAAAACACAATGGAAATCTACAAGCTCAGCCATGTGGAGAGAATTTTGTTGGAAGTTAATGCTGCTCAATGTGAAAGCTCGCAGGTGATGGAGATTTACCGCTGATTACAGAACCGGCTTTACTGACAAGATGCGCATTAAATATCGCATGCGATTTATCGTGCAGCCCTAATGCGTATGTAACATTTGAGAAATTTGTTTTCAAGATTGAGGGCATACATACTCTGTATATACTCTCCATAGTAACATTAAGGTGTATGTATGTTTTCATTTATTTATTTATTTTTATTTATTTTTTTTCTGAGAAATTATGTATGTCCTGATCTCTGTATGCATTTTCCCTCTGAAAAAATAAATAAATATAAAATGAAAAAAAAAAATGTTAAAAGTGCTATTTATTGCGCTAGAGGTTTTTTTTGCTTATGTCAACCGAGAAGGAAAGTTGCTTCAGAGGTGAAGTAAGACTTTACATTGAAAAATTACCAAAACAAACATTTTTCTTTGGATTATTGTGCAATTACGCATTGTTTTCAATAAGAGAAAGTAAATAGGATAAATATAAATAGGGTATATATACAGTATATATATAGACAGAGAGAGAGACAGATTATAGGTAGTTGCCAATACACTGTTTTTATTTTTTGTTTAGTTAAGTTGAAAATAACTCAAATAACTTGAAATAAAGTAAAACAACTTAAAAACTTTGAAAACTAAATAGATATATTAAAAAAAATGACTCAAACTTTTACTAAAATAAAAATGAAAACAGAACATACAGTGGTGTGAAAAAGTGTTGGCCCCCTTCCTTTCTTATTTTTTTGCATGTTTGTCACACTTTAATGTTTCAGATCATCAAACTGTATAAAAATAAAATCTAATTTAAAATATTAACAAAAACTATAATAGTATCTCAATGATAGTAAAAGTGCAAGCTCACATTCAGATCTGCCTCCATCCATTCAGCAACTGATGGACGGATCCAATTCCCCGTCCTGCATTTTTTATTTTTTGATCCGTTCCACTCAGATGAATGTCACAATATGGAATCTCTGTTGCGTTTTCCATTAAATCGTATTTATGTGTTTTAATTTCTTTAAATCTCTGTAAACTGGATATTTAACTGTTTTACAGGGTGAAGTTGGTGATCAGGGTTACCCAGGATCACAGGGACCCCCAGGGTCAAAGGTCAGAGGTCATTCTTCCTCTGGTTTTGACTCCAGAATATTAAAAAACCAATCATTATGATCCAAAAGCATTTTCAAGGTCCTTTTCCTCCATTTTGGTACTTAAATATGAGACATCAAGCAAACAATATTATTTTTAACCTATTAATTTTCTGAGTATTTTTATCTTCTGTTTTGCACTCTTTAGTCTCATAGGTTCAGTTTTATTTAATCACCTCAGCATATTTTTTGGATTTGATCATGTGCTTGATTTCACCATAGCCTCTGACCATTATTTAATCATTAGCAATGTAATAAGAATGATTTCATAGAGTAATGGGCTTCATATGGATCCGACTGCTCTGTTCAAGCATCTTCTGCTTCAGTATTACTCTCTGTGATCTGTTCTATATTACTTTAAACGCTCTGTATATGTTTGGCAGGGTGAGCAGGGAGAGCCAGGTCCTCAGGGTGAACGAGGAACCGATGGTCTGCCAGGCTTAAAGGTGAGCGCTGGGTGAAGCTCTTTCTGTTATGTGTGTGTGTGTGTGTATATATATATATATATAATGATTCCTACAAAGACAGGACTTACAGTAAATGGGTAACATCAATGTGCTTGACTGGTGTGGTTTGATTTGAGCTTTGTATTTCTCAGGGAGATAAAGGAGATGTTGGAGAACAAGGGCCCCAGGGCGAACCGGTGAGGAACGATGCATCATACGTTTATTAAAAGTGTGCTCATTTGATTTTTATGCTGCACTGACGGATAAGACTGTTGTCTCGGACTTTCATAATTTGAATGCAAGGTTTCCATGGTCATTTGCTCCCAGTTATTTTAGCTGTACAAAAACAGTCAGTTATGCTGCTTAATGCTGCAAACTATTTGTTAACTTATTATTTTAATTTACTATCATAATCATAAATATGCACTGGTTTGTAGCACAAATACTGCACTTTGTTGTTCTTCAAGTTATTGACTCATAGTGGCTAATGAATCAGAATTCTCCAATATTCAAAGAAAATAGCTAATGGTGCATTTGAGTCATGTCGGAAAGATCGTATTTATGAGTTGAATGCACGTGAACACCACCCCAAAGTCATAATTACAAGAGGGAAACTCAGAAGTTTCAGATAATGAAATGATTATTTTTTTTAAATGTATAATAAATCTAAGTTGCATTTAAAAAATAAATAAAAAATACTGTAGTATTGTACAATTATGATAGGATAAAAATTTAGTTTACAGCACCTTCATAAATTGAATAAAATCATAAAAAGGCATAAACCTACTGTATGCATATTATTCATCATTTTGTAGAAGCAGAGTTTAAGATCTTCATCACCAAAGTGACTTGAATGCACCTGATGCTGTAGTTACTACTTCCCAACTCATACTGTAAATACAAATTTCCCAGGAGGACTTGAATGCACCAATACTTCCATGTTGCAAATTGAACGAATTGAATCAGCAGTCCACAGGTTGTTACTGAGATAAAGTGAGTCATATTTGGCCTGTCATGTGACCTTATGTGGCATCTCTGCCCAATTGTGGGGACTTGCTCCATGTAGAATCAAATAGTTTTTACTGTGCCACTGAAATGAATGCACATAATTTGAAACATTTTTACCATTTTATTGAATTTACCTTTAAAAGCATAAATTCTGAAATTAACAATCTCATTCATATGTAATTAGAGAACAACTGCAACAAAAGTCCATTTTGTTAACAATGCCAAGATCTTCGGTTCGATTTTCAGGCAATTTGTGAACTGATCAAATGTATATTTTGATTGCAATGTATGTTGCTTTGGATAAAACAAAAGCAGAGAAACACCTCTTCACATCTGAGAATACTTACATTTGTGTGATCAGTTATGTAACAGTTGTTTTCATCACGGTAGGGCCACCCTGGTGAGAAAGGCACATCAGCTTCCGGTGACATCATTGACTTCAATGGCAAACTCTTAGATGCCTTTCAGGTGAGCTGTGATTTTATTGATGGTAATTGCTAGAAAAACTTCTTAACAACTGTTATTTTTGCCAATCGGTCATCTGGATTCATGCAAATTTGACGTTACTGGTTAGACTTCCTGTAATGCAATTATGTAAACCACAGATGACTATAAATTCATGGTCATATTAAAACCAAATGCCATTATATATTCAGAAATTTAAGTCAGACTTGATTTTTTTTTCTGGCAGGCCATCAAAACCATCAGTGTCTCGGTAACAGTACTGTAGCATGAGTTGCCATTTTTGGTTATTTTGGTTGAATATGCAGCCTGATTATCCTTAACAAATACTCACTGTGTGTGCGTGTGAATTTAAAACAATCCATTATTATTTTCAGCATGTAATGCTAATTCAAAATACATAATTCAAGATTAATTTTCAATAATAATTTTCAATAAGTCAATATAAAATAATTGTTGCTTATTTGTCAATGCAGATTCTTCAGTAACACTATACAAATAATGTTTATTATTATTATCATTATCAAAGCTGGTTGCATGCATGCAACATTATGTTATAAAACGGTTTGAAAGCCAAATATGGCTGACAAAATAAAATGTAATAATTGAAATAACTTTGCTTTAAAACATTTAAGGCTGTGCTTTATGTAATGTACCAAGACAAATTCATGAAATTAGATGCAATTAGTTGCAAATGTTGTTCTTGTTTTCAGAATGTGCATCTGGGTTGTTTAATGAATGGTTCTTGTGGTTACATTTATAATGTCTGTTTAAATGTTCTAGACGATGCCATTCTTTGAAATTCTGTGTTTTGTCACATTGCAATTGAGAAATAGGAGGACGAAAAAATTATCGTTTTGGACATTTGCAAGGCTTTGTGGTCATCTCTATCAACAGTATAATCAGTCTGAAATGTGTATCGAACCACAAACCGTGACAGCACATTGTACAGATACATTGAGTATGGTGACAAGGAAATGAAAAAATATCAGCCATAATTATGGTATGTTTTTGTCAAAAGAATAGCAATGTTTCCTTCAAAGAATGCCATAAGCATTGTTAAGCATCACTCAGGATGTTCCTTTCATACTCCACATGGTTTCACATGAAGAATTATATTGGAACAACAATTTCCTGTTTTATAGCAGTTGTAAAATGAGGTCTATCAGAGGTTTGTGGTTCTCAAAATGCAAAGTGGGTTTTACAAAAAGACAATTTTATAAGCTTTAATTATGTCTGTTCCGTTTGCTTACCAAACAGGGACCCCCTGGCCCTCCTGGACCCCCAGGACCACCCGGAAAAGAAGGTTCAAAGGTGAATTTCACAATCTTATCAAAATCTGTTAAACTCCTAATGAGTGGCTCAGTTAGTGTGTTGGTTCCATGATTATTGTATTTAAAGCCACACAAAGACTGCTAGAACGTGATTGTCAGAGACCTTCTAAATGATCTAATTTATAGTATCAGGAGAAATTTTAATTCTGAACTCCTGTATGTTTCATTCATCCAAACAGGGTGAACTTGGCTTGCCTGGGCCTGCTGGGGTTGATGGCGAAAAGGTGATAATTGGTTCACCCAGTTTAGAAGAATATCAGTTGTTTTATTTTATTTTATATAAATATACACAGCTTTGCAAGGACAAGCACCTATATAGAACATATATGAGCTACTCAGAGATTCATGCAAATGAGTTGCTTATCAATATTTGGATTGATTTGACCATCAGGGTGAAAGGGGAGACACTGGAGAGCCTGGTGAACCCGGAGAGAGGGGGGAAAAGGGAGAAATGGGCCTCTCTGGTCCCTCTGTAAGTATTCAAAGTGATAAATCTATTACATCTTCTCATTTATTTTCTATCATATTATCATTTATAATATTAATCAAATGTGTCATAGGGAATGGATGGGCAGAAAGGAGAGAAAGGAGACTCTATACTAGAGGACAATCTGGTCAGAACAATTGCACCCACATTTTCTGATTCATTTATTAATGTTCTAGTATTAAGAGTACAGTTATCTTTAAATGTGATTTTATGACTGTCTACAGGTTCAGATGATTTCACAGCCTGGACCTCCAGGTCCACCAGGACCACCTGGATACATGGTGAGGCACATTTTAGACATGCATGATATTATGCTTTCAGTTCATATGATGACATCTGATGGCTGATATGATGACTGATGACAATTTTACAAGCTTTTTCACATTCACTTATGTAACTGTACTTAACCTGACCATATGGTCTCCCTTGTTTTTTGCATTTATCTGCAAGATCTTGACTTTTAAGAGTGATATCATAACATCATTCAAAGATTGTGACAGTTATTATGTGTGTTTTAGGGTCATCATGGCTTGCCAGGCTCCAAAGTAGGTGTTATTTTATTCAGATTTTAAACAAAGTCTATTAATGTATGTATTCCTAAATTCCTAAATTTAGATCAAAGTATCAAAGTTGTTGTCTTGTCATGAAACACGTCATCATAAAGCTAACTTAAGTGCTTTAAACTCCCTAATAAATGTCTGGAGATATCCAGTAACTCGTACTCCATGCAGTGTATCAGTCTAACGCTGTACTGAATCTCTCATAGGGTGATCCAGGGGAGAGTATTAAAGGAGAGAAGGGAGAAACTGGTGCTGCAGGAATACAAGTGAGACCACATCTAATCCCATAATGCACTAGTCCAGGATTTAAAAACAAAAGCAATATTTACAAAGATGTAAGATTGGCCTACATGTTATGATTATGATGTTATCCATACTCATAACATCTTTATACATATTATTATGTTTTATAGGGCCTTCAGGGTCCTCAGGGGCCCCGGGGATCAACAGGATTAGTTGGTCTTCCCGGAATAATTATTAGAAATTTGTGTGCAGTGTTTGCTTACAGACAGTTGTAAAATTTAAACTGATAATTTTTTTAAACTACTTTAACACATGAATTTGTTAAAATTGCAATACAACTGAAAATTGACTCTGCTCTTACACCCATGTTTTGTTTTGTTTTTTTACTTTGAAGGGTTCCGATGGACTTCCAATAGCAGGTTGCTGGCACAAGGTCAGTAAAAAAATACATTTATGATACTTGAATATTCCATAACCATGTCTGTACAGTTCATGTGTGTGACTTTAACATTAACAATTGCCTATTTAAATTAATCGACTGCAGTGTGCATCAGTACACATGCCACATAGCTCTTTTATGTTGCATTTTTGGATTTGGCTTTGCTCATCACTAATATTGTGTGTTTGTTGTTCTTTTGCAGTGATGTGTAACCTGAGGCATGTCGTCTGTACATATTGATGTGATATATAATGCAATTTCATACAGCTTTTTCCACTTTTTAAATATATCTACATTTTATAAAGACAAGAGACTTCGATGTACATTCATCAGTGTTATTTTTTCATAAACCTTTTTTATCAGAAATTGTGGACCAAATAGTGGATGCTGCTTTTTTGGTATCCATTTGGGTTTTTGGATTTTTTTTATTTTTTATTCCTGGAGCATAAATGGACAGTATTGTTCACCATAAGATGCCTGTAATGTGCTCGAGGAATGTTGCATGGGCATGCTGGACCGACCCGCTCAACTAGTGCCACTATGAGATTTTTGCATCATATCCCCTTTTGTTTTTAAAGGAACAGGGAATGCTTCAGAAACTCAAGAGGAAACGTCTCTCCCAGCCTTGATGTTCTTCAAGAACCCGAGGAGGTTAAATTACTTTACGGTCCCTCATGTGACGCCATCTCAATAATACTGGCTAATATTGACGGCCCTCAATACGCAGGTCAAATGAGGGTGCAAACAGCCCTCACTATGGTCAATATTTTTCATGGAGGAACATAATTGAGCTCTTGGAGATGATGAGAGATCAGGGATTGGCCTCATGGATGCAGTTGCTCCATAGGACGGCAACAGCAGCCTGACATAAGAGGCTTTGGCATGGAGATGATACAGAACAGATCATTATTTTGAGAATATTAATGAACAGTAATTTATAATGATTTATTTCTTATGTGTTACTGTTTTATGCTTGGATTTTTGTAGTTTTTAACCCGCAAGCAAAACACAAAGCATCTGGAATTGACGGCCAAAAGACTAACTTTTGGATGGTGAGCATTTACTTATTAATGCATAAATAATTGACAATAAAATAATAAAATAAATACTACATCTGTTTTAAATCAGCGCAGCATAATAATGAGCGAGAATAGTGTGTTATATTGTACCTGTTTATTTTTTTTCTTTAATACTACTGCATCTACGTTTTATTGCTCACATTTGTTGTGATACTTTGTATGAGATACAGTATACGTTGACTCTGACTACTTGTCATTGTTTTTAACATCACAATCCTTGATACATATTCCATAGTATTGTTCATAGTAATTTATGATATATACTGATGTGCCTTTTGAGGATAGCCAAAACTGGGGGTGTTTTCGTAACCTCAGTTCAGCTATTACGAGGACTCAAGTTTAAGGCTGTTTTTTAATTTGACAAAGTATTGCTCTATTATCTTTCATAGCATGAAAGCAAAGAAAACATTAGAGATTCCATTTGATCAATCTCATTTTCTTTCTTTGGTTTTCCAAGATTTAACAGAGAGAAAAGACATCCAGAAGAGATTTTTTTTTTTTTTTTTACACATTTTAGCCTGTTCAGTGTACATTTCCATGGCTAGGATTTAAAAACAAAAGCAATATTTACAAAGATGTAAGATTGGCCTACATGTTATGATTATGATGTTATCCATACTCATAACATCTTTATACATATTATTATGTTTTATAGGGCCTTCAGGGTCCTCAGGGGCCCCGGGGATCAACAGGATTAGTTGGTCTTCCCGGCACAAAGGGTGAAAAGGTAAATCTAATCATAAATTCAACTAATCACTATTTTTAATGACCATTAGGGTTTAAGCAAATGTATTTGTGGTGTTTATTTCATTCTTTTTATCTATTATATTTTATTTCATTTTTTCTGTATTCTTTTTTTTTAACCACTCTGTGGTTTTTATGATTTATGAATGAATTTTGATTTGATTTGATAAATGTCAAATGTAATGCCTAAACCTAACTGTGAAGTAATATTAGACTGGAACTTTCCAGATAGGCCACACATAAAATGTAAATGTAGCTAAAATTATTTTTGTTTTCTTTATAGGGAAAACAAGGGGAACCTGGATTAGATGTAAGCATTTATTTATTTATTCATTCATTCATACATACATCACAATGTAATTTTTATTTTATTTTATTGTAGGGTTTTCCTGGCATTAAGGGAGACAGGGGTGATCGTGGAGAGAAAGGAGAGAAGGTACTGCGTCATATTTACCTCTGGCTATCAATGAAGCTTTCATACATGTTCAAAAAACATGACATTTATTTATTTACTGACTGTACATAGACCTTTACTTAAAATGATCTTGTTGATCCTCCTGTTCACAGGGAGATCGCGGTCCTGTTGGAAAGAGAGGGCTAAAGGGAAAGAAAGGCGAGCAGGGGCCGCCGGGTCTGGACCAGCCCTGTCCCGTGGTGCGTGTAATAGCTACTTTTCAGATGTTTATATGTGTTGATGCGTTACAGATTCATACTGCTGAAAATCTGGTGAAAAAACATACCGGGTAATTCTGTCAGGAACAACAAAGTGTGCCCATCTGGGAACACAGATATTTCACAGACATCTTTTTCCTTTTTCCACCTTTCCTCACCTTTCTTCTGTATGTTTCTATAGGCTGATGTTCTGTTTCAGTTTCTCTTTGATTGGTCTCTCTAGCGTGAGTGTGTGTGTATTGTTTGTTTTGAGTCATTATGGGAGTGTATATTGTATATGTGTGCCTTCGCTGACAGGGAGCTGATGGATGTAAAAAAGAGGCAGTGGAAATGGGGCAGCCGGCCCCTGAGGCCCCCTGCCCACTGGTACAGTATATCTGCCTGCTTCTCTCTGCTCTGTTTATACCTGCAGATTTCTAACACTTCCTGCTTTCACCTTTTAACTACACCTTTTAAACTATCCTATGTCTGCCATATACATACTGGTATATGAAATGTTTGGGGTCAGTGAGATTTATTTATTTGAAATAAATTAATACTTTTATTCAGCAAGAATGCATTGAGTTGATAAAAAGTAACTGCACAGAATACATCACATTTTTATTTCAAATAAATGCTGTTCTTTTGAACTTCATTCGTCAAAGAAGCATGAAACAAAGCTACTGTTTTCAACATTGATAGTGAGAAATATTTCTTGAGCACCATGTCAGCATATTAGAAGGATCATGTGACACTGAAGACTGGAGTAATGATGCTGAAAATTCAGCTTTGCATCACAGGAATAAATTATATTAAAATAATAATAATAATAATATAAAAAATATTATAAATAATAATTGACAATAGTACTGTTTTTACTTTATTTGTGATCAAATAAATGCAGCCTTGGTGAGCAAAAAACATCTTTCAAAAACATTATAAAATCTTACGACCCAAACATTTAAACCATAGTGTATATACAACACACATAATTAGAGATTATTTATTTTTATTCAACTGTTATAAAGCCCAAACTGATGTATAAAATATTAACAAAGTTTGACGAGAAACAGTGTAACTTAGTAAGCAAAGTCTCATTAATATTTTATTAGTGGTACTTCATATAACACAGCATTATTGTGATGAGTTTTGCAAGCATGTATGTAAAAATCTATGTGATTCTTTAGTGATTGAGTTTTTAGGTTGATGTCTACTTATTTTATATATATATATATATTTTCTTTCTTTGGTTTTCCAAGATTTAACAGAGAGAAAAGACATCCAGAAGAGATTTTTTTTTTTTTTTTTTACACATTTTAGCATGTTCAGTGTACATTTCCATGATGGTGTACCCCCTTTCAGGGATTTAAAACCATACTTCATAAGCTTTTCTGAAATATTTATTGTTAATACTCAAATAACTGGTGGCCAGATCATGTAAAAGTTCTTATATGCATAAAATATATGTTACAGATAATGCACTTGAATTTTGGTGTTAAATGGCTGGCAAAATGTTCCAATGTTACTATGTTGTGATTTACGATTGACCAATAGCATTATAGCATCATTTTAGAAACAAAACAGAATGAGAGGACATTTTTGGAACATTTTATTGTTTGACTTTCTTTACAGGTGTTTTTTTTTTTCTTTTTTTCAACACAAATAATGTTTGATTTTGAAGATATTGAAAGATGATTTTGAAGATATTTTGCTGCTGAAGTATTTGTATTTAATAGTTGAAATGGGGTAAGGAAAACAGCCTTACCGACTGCCTGACAGACATTACATGCATTAATTTGCTTTCAAAGATGTTTTATAAAATAGAAATTAAAGTTTGTTACTAGTAAACTGTCTTTCATTTGACCTTGGTCATGGTCAAAAAGTATGGTGTTTCAAAAGTTCTCCACAATCCATTGTAAACTTACATTTAGCTCAGACTGTTTCATGATCAAATCAATTCCTGATGAATGAAATTAAATCCTGCTCTTTTTCATCATTGCATGAATGTTCTGTTTCACTTGGAAGTACAGGTGCATCTCAATAAATTAGAATGTCATGGAAAAGTTCATTTATTTCAGTAATTCAACTCAAATTGTGAAACTCGTGTATAAAATAAATTCAATGTACACAGACTGAAGTAGTTTAAGTCTTTGGTTCTTTTAATTGTGATGATTTTGGCTCACATTTAACAAAAACCCACCAATTCACTATCTCAACAAATTAGAATACTTCATAAGACCAATAAAAAAACATTTTTTAGTGAATTGTTGGCCTTCTGGAAAGTATGTTCATTTACTGTACATGTACTCAATACATGGTAAGGGCTCCTTTTGCTTTAATTACTCCCTAAATTCGGCGTGGCATGGAGGTGATCAGTTTGTGGCACTGCTGAGGTGGTATGGAAGCATTGCGCAAGTAATGAGTAAAAGTGCAGTTTCTTGTTGACTTTAAATGCCAAGGTAATTAAACAGGTCATGACATAAGAAATCTGTTTGTTTGTTTTTTAGCTTTTGACATATAAAAGGTCTTTGTACCATTAAAACATCCTGCAAGTTTTATAGCTTATAGCTTAAATATCTTCCTCATTATAAATAAAGCATTTATTAATCAATCTCCTAAAACGCTTTGTTTAGATATTGCGGATCTGTGATGTCACGTGGACAAATATTTGCATATAATCATCTATAAGCCCCGCCCACGTGTGTCTAATCAGCTGACACCTGTCTACACCAGATGCCAAAAGCAAATCTAATTATAATCACTGGCGCTGTCTGTTGCTTATGGTATTCAGTTGCGCATTCATTTTCTGACGTACTCCACATGCTGCTGCTGACAATAGGACATCTTGTAGGCGGATTATATGTTTATTCGGAGCATTTGGCTAAAGATTGTTTTGTTAATGAGGACTGTGTAATGGAGAGTTCTTAAAGTCTTGTTGAAAGATAAAAGCAGCCAACTGAATGCGATCTAACAGCAGCTGCATCGAAAACCGTAAGTAAAGAGTCACAATGATTTGTTTGTGGTTTTATATGGATGGAATGTTTTTTAAAAAGCGTACTTGTATTTCTATAGTCTTTGCTTATGTGCTATAGCCAGGGGGCATTGATACTGTTAGCCAATCATAACAGTGATCATTTACTGTCAAGTCTTAAAGGGACCACCCCTCGAAAACAGATGATAATGGTCAAAATGCTGGTTGAAAATGTAATTAATCAATGACAAAAGTATTTGAAACAAAAAAAAATGCATTGCATTAACCGTGGTCATATTTAATGCATTGTATTTTCAGTGCTTGTATTTCTTGGGGTTGTCATTCAACATGGTTGTATATTTAAGCAGTGAATATTTAAACTGGGAAAAAAAAAAAAAAAATCACATTTTCATTCTTAAAAATTCAATAAATATTCACCTCACAAAATTACCATCTCCAAAACTGTCAGTCTTTTTAAAAATATGACGCAGATGGAGATTATGCATGAGTACCCTACTGCTAGTGCTGTTCCTGTAGTTCCCGGATGTTCAAAGTTGAATATTTTACCGAGTTAGAATCGAATTTGAACATTCTGGCGAATTTGAAATATTTCAAGCACTGTTAATGCAATGCATTTTTTTCTTCAATTATTGCAGTTCAACATACTTTGTTTAAAAAGTCTTTTCTCATTAATTTACTTCCAGAAGCATTTATAAACAATTAACATAACATTTTTTTTTTACATAAGTAAACCCCAGGGAACATATTGAAATAATCATAATAAATAAAATTACAAAAAAAAATCATGACATGATTAAACGGTTTCTAAAATAAATCAAATACAATCACAATTAAAATTATTTATTGTGCTTGACAGCGATGTTTTATTATAGGAATCAAATACCCAAACTGAGCAATATGAACAGGTAGTATGTGATGGTAATACAACACGCGACTGGTGTTAAACAATTTGGCCTGAGATGCAAAAGCCACTTCGGACTTACAAAATGTAACATACTAAAAACAGATTCAAGCACTACAGAAAACAAACTACAACATGAACAGAGTGGAATATTATAAAGCCAAAGCGTTTCCACTACAAATGTGCAAAACGGCAACAGTAAAATGATTCCAGCTTCAGAATGTACGTAAATAGTACTTTACTGTTGTTTAATAAACAAAAATACCACAAAACTATTAAAAAAAAAAAAAGACTTGTTAAATGTAAAAAAAATTAAATGAGTGTGAAACCCAGTGATAGAAATTAGGTGCGTTCAGCATGCTGATACAAACAATGCTGCTTATTGCACACGGGGAACCACACAACATAAAATACCACGTTAATGTCATCAATTAATAAAATAAATTAGTAACCTGAACTAAATAAGCAGTTCAGTTAAGTCACAAAAATGGCACTTAAACATGTTTCAACTATGTTGAAAGATGGATACCTGACTGCTTAGTCAAATCTGACTTTTAGATTGCATGTTTTACATTGGCAATAAACAGATGTGCGCAACAGTATGTTATTCTGTTGATGTGCTATTTAACTACAACACGTGCACTGATGAAATCCATCAATCTAATGCAAAATGCTGTTGAAACATGTTTACACAAGTATACACAAGCTTTCAAAATGATCCACAAAATTCAGATTTACTGTTAGCGGATGTACTTGTGAGTGCATCTCACACCTAAAAACACAAGCTTATTGATAATTATGCATATTTTGATATTTTCGATAGGTTTTTACTGTGGCAGATTTAAACCACAATAATCAAAAGCAATCACTTTGTCATAGCACACAGTAATAAAAAAAACAAAAAACAAAAAATTCAAAATGTTTTTAAAAAAAGTGGTCTTTTTGGGGTGGGGGGGGCATAAAAACAACGATCAATGAAGCTTGGCACTAATTTAAGAGATTCTACAGCTCTTATCTAATTTAAAGGGAAATTCTATTAAAGTTATATGGGGAAACAGGATAAGTTGGTGTGGTGTTACTCACAAGAGACCATAAAATAGCAAATGCCATTTTGTGCTATAATGTGTATATAAAAGGCGAGGAAGCTTAGGGGAGTTCAAGACTTGTGGAGTTCAGAAGCCGGAAGGAGTGAGAATGTTCATGTCTCGATGTCTCAGTCTGTGACAGGATGTTTTCTTTCCGTCCTCGCCGCTCATCTCGATCTTGGGAGATTTGAAATTGGCGGGATCTTCAACCGTGAGGCTTATTTGGGTTTTCATGCCATCTATTGTATTGGACTTTGGAACCCCAAAGTGCGATTGCAGCATGAATCCCCCTGTAGTCATGGAAACAGCAGGAAAAAATGTTTACATTAACACATTCCTGGTCTTACTGTGAATTTCCCAAAATGTATACAGCGCTTTTCACAATACACATGATGTTAATGTTTATATCATTTTAATTTCTTCATGCCTTTGAGTCACATTATAATTAGGCATCTTTAAAGGGGTCATATGATGCGATTTCAAGTTTTCCTTTCTCTTTGGAGT